AAGTATTAATTATACTTAAATGTTATTTATGTATTTTAATAATATTTTATAAAAGTAAAATTAATACTTTAATATTTATTAAATTTTAAATTAAACAATTTAAATCAACTAGTAAATTTTTGCACTTGCACATTTTATTCTAATTTTTAAATATTTGTGGTAATAATAAAGGTTTTTTTTTAAGATTTTTTTACATACATCCTTTACCATTTATAAGGAAAAAATTCTAAAAAACAATACAAAAATTATACTTTTTGAGGTTTATAAAATTTTTTGATATTTCATTGTTTAAGACTATAATTTATTTGTATAAAAGAATATAAACGATTTTATCTACTCCTACATTGACGAACTGTGACTTTATGGCGTTTTAGTCACGGGTTGAAATTAACAACAGTGGCTTTTGGGCATTTTAGTAACGGGCTGAAGTTAGCTTTATTATAAATTGGGAAAAAGTAAGGTTAAATTCGGGTGACAGAGTTTACAGATGTCAAAATAACAAATAAAATTGGCTTTAAATTCTGTTTTGTGTAGAGTATAGACACTCGTTTATATTAAACACTCCCTCGCTTAATTAAACTCGTAACTAAAATGGCGTTTATAAAACTTGATACATAATACAGGGTGTCCGGGAAAAGGAGGTCAATCCGTTAACCATATATTCCTTGAGTTAAAACAATAAGACTTTCATAATACCATTTTTCAATTTAGAGCTTCATGTTCGATATACAGGGCGACAAAGTTTAAAATTTAAAACTGATTTTTTTTAATAATTCAAGTAATTGATAAGATATTAAGTTTAAATTCGGTACACTACTTCAACATAAATAGTTACATTTTTTGAGACCAACAAAACAAAAAACAATTGTCAAATAATCAAAATAGGGGGGTCCAGTACTCACTGACTCCCCCTATTTTTTAGTACGTGCGCCAATGACTTTCAAACGGTATTTTTTCAGGGAATCATTTATTGTTGAAAATTTTTTATCTCCTATAAAATTTTGTTAAAATGATTTGTTTTAGAGATAATTTGTAAAGTATGGGTCAGTCCATATCAAATTTTGGAAATTTAATTTTTTTTTTGAAAAAGTTTAGGTCATGTGATATATCATAAAAAAGGTCTCTAATAGGCCTTTAAAATAAGCCATAACTCACCTTTCTACTTTTAATAGTTTACGAGATATCGCTTTTTTTGTAAGTACTTGCAAGACCCAAATTTATCGGAATTTTTTCATTTTCAAAAACTAATAAAACAAAAACCACCTATCGAAAAAAATTCATATCGTCGCCTTCAGGAGAAAATCACGTAACTCCACAATTTCATTAAAATTGTATTTTAGTGGCATCTGTTAGATATAACTGTAACTAATTTATATGCAAGTTACAGAAGTCCTAAAATAAACCGTTAATTTTAAATTTAGAAAAAGAAATATACGTATCTCCAATCGTGGAGGAGCGTCCAGGGAATAATGCCTAACTCCAATATACAAATCAGTGCCATTGACAAGTATAAGTTATTGCCTAGTTATTTTTTCTGTATGTAAGTATGAAAGATTGTATAGTGTGTAAAGTTAAGGTACCATGAATAATTTAAGGTTACTTTTATTAACATAAAGTACATATTGGAGATACGTAATTTTCCATTAAACAATTTTTTGGCGGTAATGTGGAGATACACCAATACACCTTTAATATGTTTTTCTTTCCTCCTGTAAAATTTTACAACATGGAGTTAAGCAATTTTCTCCTGAAGGCGACGATATATGGGATTTTTGAGTTTTTTAGTGAGGTAAACAAATTTACCAAAAATTATCAAAATCGCAGATGGTGGGGGAAGAACCTTTGGTTGATTTGATATGGACTGACCTATACTTTACAAATTATCTCTAAAACAAATCATTTTATCAAAATTTTATGGGAGACAAAATTTTTTTAACAATAAACTATTACCTGAAAAAATACCGTTTGGAAGTCATTGGCGCACGTACTAAAAAATAGGGGGAGTCAGTGAGTACTGGACCCCCCAATTTTGATTATTTGACAATTGTTTTTTTATTTTGTTGGTCTCAAAAAATGGAACTATTTATGTTGAAGTAGTGTACCGAATTTGAACTTAATATCTTATCAATTACTCGAATTATTAAAAAAAATTAGTTTTAAATTTCAAACTTTGTCGCCCTGTATATCGAACATGAAGCTCTAAATTGAAAAATGGTATTATAAAAGTCTTATTGTTTTAACTCAAGGAATATATGGTTAACGGATTGACCTCCTTTTCCCGGACACCCTGTATACTATTATGAGGACGTTTCAAAAATAAAAAGTTAACGGGATAAAGTTTGCTTTATTTTAAATTGGTAAAAACTGTGACTAAAATGACGTATATTATGTAACTAGTCTTATTATTATTAAAGTCATTTAAAGATGCAAGAGCGGAGCGAGTTTTACTGAATGAGTGATTTTGAGAATTTAAAAAAAATGGAATACCATACCTTATGAACGACGATTCATAGAACATCTAAGAACTGTCAAGCGGTTTTAACCTTACTTTTTACCAATCTGACATCTGTCAGATGGGTTTAACCTTACTTTTTCCCAATCTGTCATCTGTCAAACGTTTTTAACCTCACTTTTTCTCAATTTAATGCAAAACCACAATCCACACAACAAGGTCTGTTCTATCTCGTTTCTCACATACTAAAAATGCAACTCTGCACAGAATGTAACGGAAGCCATTATTGTGTTGTTTACAATTTTTGTGCTTTGGGTTTGTGCTGTTTTAAACGTTGTGTTTTTTACAGAGGCACTTGTAAGCCTCAAATGAGGCCTTAAAGTGCCAAGGACAACCATTTTACTTCTCTTTTGTAAAAAATAAAACTTATTCTATCAGGGCTGTCACCAAACTGTCAACTGTCAATTTTAAGGTTAATTTGTAGGTTATGGTAAATGATCTGACAGACTTTGTTGTGTTCATTGTGCTTTGCAAAACAAAATGTCAAAATATACATCTGGCAATCATTTCAACTTCAGCTAGCCACAGATCCCTTGTTTTTATAGAAACTAACGTAAGTTTTTTAGACTAAAAATTATATAGCCATTAGGGTGTGTCATTTTTAAGCAACTTTTTTTTTTCAATCGAAAAACAGGCTAAAAACTTTCAGGAAGGTGAAAAAAGAATCCTTTAAAAATTTGACCTCTTAATATTAACATTAAGTGGTGCCTGTTTCTAACTTTCCATTTTCCATTTAAATAACATGGACATTTTTTTTTATTTTTTTTTATTTTTGTAGCTTGACATTGGAGCATTGTAAAAACGAACTGAAAAATTATTTTGGTAGGAAATTGAACGCTCTACAAAAAAGTTTCAATATATTTTTTCATAGAGTGAGCCGTTCTGAAGGTATTCAAACTTAAAGTTGCCTTTAACATTTCGAATCGCGGCACGTTAGCGTGCCTCTAGTCACTGTGTAATCCGAACGGTAATATACCGACTGAGCCGATATTAGTTATTTACGATATAAGTGGGATAAGAGCTTTATTAACGTACGCATGCGAAATTTGCCCAACGAGTGCGTAGCACGAGTTGGGCAATCGCAAAAGTACGTTAATAAAGCGTTATCACACGTATATTGTACAAATTTTTATCTACGCCTCTAAATGAAAAAATAAACGGTAATTATTTTTGTCTAAGACTTAATTTAGGGTTATTTTGACATTTTGACATTTTGACTTTTTTATTTGATTGGTTAAAAACAGAGAAAAACGCGTGCGTTAATGAACTTCTTATCTCACTCAAAATGAGTGGGATAAGAAGTTCTTATCTCACTGGCGTAGATAATAGTTATTTACGATATAAGTGGGATAAGAGCTTTATTAACGTACGCATCGCAAAAGTACGTTAATAAAGCATTATCACACGTATATTGTACAAATTTTTATCTACGCCTCTAAATGAAAAAATAAACGGTAATTATTTTTGTCTAAGACTTAATTTAGGGTTATTTTGACATTTTGACTTTTTTATTTGATTGGTTAAAAGCAGAGAAAAACGCGTGCGTTAATGAACTTCTTATCTCACTCAAAATGAGTGGGATAAGAAGTTCTTATCTCACTGGCGTAGATAAAATCTTTTATCAGAGTTATCGACTTTAAAATTATAAAAAATGAAAGATTAAAAATTCAATACAATAAAAAATTTATTGTTTTATTTAATCTATTATAATTATTGAACAAATTTATTGAACACAAATAACTTTTTTTGATAGTAAATAAAATAAAATGTAAAAAAAATTGAGATGTAAGTGTTATTTTCTTTCTATACGAAAATAATTATTTTTCCTTAAAATAATTTTTAAGACATAAAAAGTATTAGTTTAATAAAATAGAAGTCATAATTTCATACATTTGCAAGTTTGAATACCTTCAGAACGACTTACTCTATGAAAAAATAAATTAGTACTTTTTTGTAGAGCGTTCAATTTCCTACCAAAATAATTTTTCAGTTCGTTTTTACAATGCTTAAATGTCAAGATACAAAAATAAGAAACAAGAAACAATTTTTTTCAATGTTATATAAATGGAAAATTGAAAGTTAGAAACAGGCACCACTTAATGTTATTATTAAGAGCTCAAATTTTTAGAAGCTTCTTTTTTCACCTCCCTGAAAGTTTTCAGCCTGTTTTTTAGTTGAAAAAAAGAAGTTGCTCAAAATGACACACCCTAATAGCCATACTACGCGATTTTGTTTTAAATAAAAAAATATTTTTTTTAAAAACAAAATTTTTAAATAACACAAAATTGTTCTAAACAATGTGTTGTATTGTCAATCGTCCTGTTAAGTAAAAATGAGGTGCTTGTGTATAGACAAAAAAACAAATAATAAAAGAATATGACAAAGTATATTCCGTAAAATATGTAAAAAAAACAAAAAATTTGTGTAAGCAGCAGTGTAGGTGGTAGGTATCTATAGATTTGAGTGTGTATTGTGTGTTGGGCGGTACCTAATAAGCAATTCTCTGAGAGTGGCTTCATCGTCTCCAAGCTCCTGTATCTCTTTCTTCGTCTCATCCCTGAGGGTTCGGCGACGGGCGGGCGGGGGCGGCGTGTGCGGCGTCTGCGGGCGGCGGCCGCGGGCGGTCAGCTTGAGAGTCTCGCGGGTCTCGAACTCCACGTCCGAAGAGCCGCCAAAGCTGACGGCGTCATACTCCTCCACCTCGGCTAACTCCGCTGAAACTAACAAGAAAAAAGATATTTATGTCATTAGGTTAAGAAGCTAAGCTCAACGCCGACGCGCAGCGGAGGCCTACAATTGAGCGAAGCACAAAAAGGCACTTCTTGGCCGAATGGCATACAACATTTTATCTTTAAAGCACTTTATTTAGGTTAATTTAATTCAACATCAAAGCGGCCTAACCTCACTTTTTTAGAATCTCATTTATTTATTAGCTAAAGATTACATTAAATGTACAATAATTATTAGGTATTGCTTTTAGAAGCAGTAATAGTATGACAATACCTAGCAACATGATTTAAGTAGAAATGGATTTTCGCTAAATTTAATATTACATTGAATTCAATTAATTGTTTAATAAATAGGTAGGTATCTAATTTCAATTTGATTGTATTTTTATTTAAAAAATAGGTAGTTTGAAATGTTTAAACTGTGTTTAACATTTAATTTTACTGAAAACTTAAAGCAAATTAAAACTTAAAGATAATTTAAATCGTATAAAAAGAATCATGCGTTTTCTTGGTTGCCTAACCTCACTTTTCGTTTTATTATTCATATTTAATTTTACAATAATTTATTGAAAAATATTAAACATTAACAGTAAAACAAACAAATTAGTGCTTATTATAAATAAATTAAACCAGTTTAGTACGTTAATTTCTTAGAAAAGGATTAATTTGTCAAAACAATACCCCTAGCGAGAAAAAATCGAACTAATTACTTGCCTCATAAAATTTTTTATCGGCCCAGGCCATAACAAGGTATTTCTTTATTGAATGTTGACAACAATAAAGTTTAAATTATAGACCGCGTGGAGATAAAAGATACTTTTTGTTTTTTACACTGGAATCGGAGGTTTTTAGCAAATTAAAAAAAAACAGAACAAAATTATTTTTTTCCTGAATAAAAAGTGACTCTAATGCTTTGGTAAAAATAAATAAAACCACTACAGCAATTTTTATTTTTGATATTTGGGTCATTATAATATAGTATAATAACATTATACTATAGTATAATAGCTATTAAGGCTCTCTGCCATTTGTCAGGTGTCCCAAAAATGTCTTATTAAAAAAATAATAAATTGAGACAGCTAATATAGAACTAGATTTATAAATAAGAAAACTTAAAAAAACTAAAAGAATATATTTCAATTAAATATAAAAATATTTTTAATGTCTTAATTAAGGTTGAAAGTTAGCATCACACTCTAAAACCCTATGTACCCATCAAGGGCGTTGATAAGGGGGGTAATTGGGGTAATTACCCCCCCAAGATAGAAGTCCTAAGAAAAAAAAAATACTACAAATATAATTTATGAATCCAAGTCACCCTCTATAAATAGTTTTTAAAGTGTGGCATAATAAAAGGCATATAAAGAATTTGCTTCGCAAAATCGCAATGATTTCGCATCTTGTGTGCATTAGGGGTGTCAATCCCGGGATCCCGAAATCCCGGGGTCCCGGGATCCCGTAAAAAATCCGATCCCGAAAATACCGGGATTAAAAGTCCCAATCCCGGGATCTTAGTAATAAGTTACAAAGAATAAAATAGACTTTTTTTTTAAGCGTATGGCATTTTTCATATTATAATACTCATAAGCATATATATAAACACTTCATTTTTTTACTCAGTTCAAGTCAAATTATTATACACCGCCGTACAATAATACAAATACATTGAAATTACATAGCAAGAGTGGTTCCATCTATAGCATAAAATCAGCAAAGAAAATGTAAAATTACAGGTCACTGTAGAATAAATTTATGTACATAACCTATAATATAACATATTTCAAACGTCAAACCTGAAAAAATGTCACAAACTTGATAATTTCAATGTAAGTTACAGCCCCAATTGGAACTCACCAAGGTCCGATTGATAAAATAAATGGAATTATTTGTTAATGGGGGTAAACGTGGGTACAATGTGCCTACGAATTCTTGAAAACCATTCTTCCGACTAGTGTGAAGTCCGAAAGATATCGTTTGTTAGTTTGTTTGTTGTTTTATTTTAAATTGGTTTCAAAATTAATGATATATATTTTTTCGGGACTGATCCCGGGATCCCGGGATTGGAAAATGGGCTCGGGATTGACACCCCTAGTGTGCATCATCTAGAGTGAACGCCCGCCCCCAGCATCCTTAGATTAATAATATCTTGCATCTTGTGCGCATCTCTGATGTACTAAAGTCTAGTTAAATATTGATAAGATTTTGGATAGTTTTGCAAAAATGAAAAAATAAGAAGAACAAAAGATAATTTTATAATTTGAATTTTATATTTAAAAAGATAACCTAGGTACTTAAAAAAGAATATATGTTTATATTATGTTTGTGAGATATTTAGTTTTGGTACCTTATAATCGTTTTCCCCAATATATCGACGCCCTTGGTCCCCATTAGAGCTGCCAGCTGCCGATTTTACCTGTTTTTGCTGTAGCAAGCTTCCCGGTTTTTAAAAGACCCTTCCGACTTCATTGAAAACCTCCCGTAAACTATATGAATGATCATAGATTATAAACATCAACTTCCCTTATTTATTTCATAAAATTTTTTTTATAAATTTGTGCTAGCATAGGTATTCAAATACAGGGTGTTATATAAGTACGTGGTGAAACTTTATGGGACGATTCTTTGAGTGATTCTAAGACGAAAATTTCATATAAACATAGGTCCGGAAATGCTCCGTTTTCAACTTACAGGCCCTGTAATACAGGGTCATAAATAAAGATGGGATATTTAGGTACTAAAAACTGAAAAATAGGTAACTAAAAAGGTACTAAAAAAAGCATTTTAGGTAAAAAAAACATTAAACGTTCAAGTTTCGTTTATAATTTTGTTTAGCCGCATACCCAAACACAGAACATACCCACAATGTTGTGTTTCACTGAGTGACACTCACTACACAGAAGTTCTATGACAGAACATAAGCTCACTACAAAGAAGGTAACTGTAAAGAAAGTTACTGTTACAGTATGTGACAATAAGAAAAAATTCTATACCGTTGAGTTGCACGCCCTGGATAGATAGATAGATAGATATTTATTTATTCAAAAGACCAAATACATGATAAGGATAGAATACGTCAAAAGCAATCATACATTACAATACATTTAACACAGATATTGTATAAATATTGGACAAGTGTATATCACCATTTACATTTTTGTATAAATAAAATTTACAAGAAATAGAAGTTTCACATCATAGTACAGTTATCACAGTCTAGTTTATCACAGGAAAGTTTGACTCAAAGTATTCGTTTAGTGAGTAGAATGAACCAGTCTTTAGTAGTTTCTTCAATATGTTCTCAAATTTTTTTGTTGGGAGGTCTCGAATATATTTGGGAATTTTGTTGTAAATCTTAATCAGCATGTTGACAACATTTTTCTGAACCCAGGTGAGTTTCGTATGTGTACTTCTTAAGTTGGATTTATGTCTTGTATCGTATATGTGGGTTCCTTCAAGATGTTCAAATTCTTGGTAGTGGTTTTTTACATACATAGCCGATTCTAAAATATATATAGATGGTACAGTGAGTATGCCTGTTTGTTTAAACGTGATTTTGCACGATTCTCTATATTTTAGATTGAAGATAATTCTTATGCATTTTTTCTGAAGAATAAAAACTCTCTCCACGTCTTTTGAGTTCCCCCAGAATACTATTCCATATCTTATTCGCGAATAGACATAGGCATAGTATGAAGTGAGACAGGTTTTTTGGTCAACTGTGTTTGATAAAATTCTTAAAGCAAAGGAGTATAGACTTATCTTCGTGCATACAGCATCTATATGTTCTCCCCAGCGTAGGTGACTATCTATAATAATTCCCAGAAATTTTGTGGAGTGGGATGTAGTAAGTTCATTTCCTCCAATGTTTATCGTTTTTTTTGAAACATTGTTGTATGAGAATTTTATTAGTTGGGTTTTATCTACATTTAAAATCATATTGTTTTGTTCAAACCAACTTTCCAGTTTTTTTAAAACCAAAACTATTTCTTTAAATAAGGAATTTTCATCATTTTTTCTTATTACCATGGAGGTATCGTCTGCGAACAATACTGTCTCATGTTCCAGTATGTCAGGTAGTTCATTTGTATAAATTATAAAAAGGAGGGGACCCAGGATACTACCCTGAGGGACCCCATACCTTACTGTTTTGTAGTCTGAGTAGATATATTTTCCGTTTTCATCTTTAGTTTTAATACACTGAGTTCTGTTTGACAAATAGGAATGAAATAGTTTGTGAGGAGTGCCCCTCACGCCATAGCCCTCAAGTTTTTCCAGCAGTCTGCCCACGTCAACGCAGTCAAACGCCTTTGATAGATCCACATAGACCCCAGCTACTTCATCCCCTTCACTTACACCCTCGAGTATCTCCTGTAGAACCTGAAATATAGCTCTATTTGTAGATCTACCTTTCATAAACCCGTTTTGATTTTTTGTAAGGATGTTATTATATATGAAAAATGAGTATAGTCTCGTATATAGGATTCTTTCAAAAATTTTTGAGATATTTGAAAGTAATGCAATGGGTCTGTAGTTTTCTGGTTTATTTTTTTCACCTTTTTTGTAAATAGGTGTGGGGACTGGATTTCCCACTCTTGGCAGTCAGACACTTTAGGCATATGGTCGAGGCTCGGCAGTTTGCGATCTTTACAGACCACAAGCCGATTACGTTTGCCTTTCGGTTGAAGTCTACACAGTGTTCACCACGCCAACAACGCCATCTAGACTTCATTGGACAATTTTCCACAGACATTCGTCATGTGTCGGGCCAGGATAATGTGGTGGCTGATGCATTGTCACGCATTGAAGAGCTGGAGTCAGCCATCAACTACAAGGCACTTGCAGAGTCTCAGAAGAGAGATCAAGAGCTTCTGAATCTGCAACAAGGCTTTTCATCCCTCAAGTTGAGATCGGTACAGATTCCAGGCACAACTGAGTTTATTACGTGCGATGTGTCAGCATCAGCGCCTCGACCGTATATTACAAAACCATTT